ACATACTCGTTTCTCTTTATTGCCAAGTAATAGTTCAAAGTCCCGATGCCTCACGGTGGTTTAACCAGAGGACAGTCATGCTCTGGGTCCCAGGATTGCCTCTTGACTCTATTTTAACATCCACCAAAAACAAGTTGAAGGACCTCTAGGCTGTTTTCAATTTTTAACTATTATGAACAAAGCTGTCACAGACACAAGTTTTTATGTGAAGATAAGTTTTTATTTTTCTGGATCAATTGCTCAAGAGTGTAATCACTGATCACATAATAATTGCATGTTTAATGTTTATGAAGAACTGCCATTATTTTTTTCCTGGAGTGTCAAATCCTGTATTTTAAACACATAAATATTAAATATGTGGTGATTAAATATTTGGGAAAATCCAGGATTTTTAATGACTGTATAATATCACACGATTGGACGTACCATTATTTATACCTAACGTTGAACACTTTGTTGCTTCAGATTTCTCCTTTTCTGTGGAAATCCTTAATGGAGCTGGTGTAAAAAACAGATGAGCTGGAAATGGTCCTTGCAGGGCCCAGGAGTGAGCAGGTTCTGCAGGGCTGATGCATACTAACGCCAGTGCACAGGACCTCTTCTTCCATCTATCACTGAGACAGAAGTGCTTGTGGTAGCTCTGGCATAAACGGCACATTGGAAGGCTATCACAGCTGGAAATTCCCTTTCAGGAGAAAGGGAACTCTTAATGTATCACGTGTCAGGGCAACCAGATGGCTCCCTGGTGATCTTGGAGCCAGGAGAAGGGGAAGAAGGTCAAGATCTCTAGTGACCCAATATTGGAATGGTCTCACACTCCCTTCTCATCTGGACTTGACAGAGGACAGAATACAGGACACTGCTGTGGACTTGACATCGGAATGGACTTGACAGAGGACAGAATACAGGTCTGAAATGACCATGAGGACAGTGATGGGCTCTGTCTACCGATACTCTGGATTTCTGTGTGTCTGTGTGGGATACCTCTTCTCTTTGACAGTATTGATTTTGTGAGTTGATGCCCTCAGTCAAGTCCAGAGACTCTAGTCGCTTATCTCTTTTTCATTGACTTTGCATCCTTGGTTTCTGATCCATGTTGAGTTGCTTTTGCTGTTGAATGCTCAGTAGGAAATGCAGTTGCTTTATTCCCAAGATCTGGGAAGGACCCCTCACCCATTGCCTTCAATTAGTTATAATTTTCATTATTACAAATGCGCACTATTACGAACAACTTGTGACTCTTGTTATGTTTATTATTTCTTCTTTTATGTTTATTATTTCTTGAAGGGAAATTTTAGAAGTCAAATCATTGGATTCAAGAGTCAACATGTTGGGGGACTGATCTTATAAATTCACCGTTAGAAAAGAAGTTCACACTGGAATATTATGAGAGTGTGCATTTCGTTCTTCATTTATCAATAATGGTCAGTAGATTTTCTAAAAAGTGCAAAAGTGAAAGGCAAAAGGGTGTGTGTTTTAACTTGTATGTCACTGCTTTTCAGTGAACACAATACTAACATGTACACAGCCTGCCTTCTAAAACAAGGCTGAGGATTGGCTGCCTGGGTCATGGAGGGCAGATGTGTGCAGACATCCTTCTGGCACTGCATGGGAAGAAAAGATTCCTGGCTAAAATTGAAGACGACAGACGTGCTGTCCTTGAAATTCCAGTCAGTACCATCATAAGGACTTCATTCATTTGCTCACTATTCCAACAGACAGCTACTGAGCACTTACTTCCAGGGAAGTATGCCAGGCATTGGAGACACCAGGATCTGCAAGACATGCTCTCTGCACTCGGAAGGTTACAGTAGCACAGTTGAGACAGACAAGCAGACAGACAGACGCTTAAAAGGCAATGTGATCAGCACAGTAGGATGGATGCCTTGGGAATGTCAGCAAGTGATATATGGCCAGTGCTCCCAGTATGCTTTCCCTTTCCTCCCAGCTCTAAGGTTCAAAGACAAAGAGCTAATTAGATTAGAAATAAAGATAGTTTTCCCTGGTGGTGCAATTGCAAAGTTAGCCGCAGCAGTTTCAGGCTTCAGTGTGAGTTCGATCCTTGACCCAGGAGGTGACCCACATGGTGAGGCAGACCTCTCCTGTTTCACCTGCTGCTCCCTTCAGAATCCCCTCAGCAGTGTACTTTGTAGATAAACCAGTTCTGCTCCCCACTCTGTCTCTGGTGAATCCTCTCCCCTCCCCTGCCCCTCTGGCCTGGATCATAGTTCTGTATGCATAAATAAATTAATCTTTAAAAAAAAAAGAAAGAAGATAACTTGTGGTTAAATTTGTGGACTTTGTATAATGGCAATGCCATAGACACCCCATTGCACATTCTTTTTTTTAAATATTTATTTATTTATGCATACAGAACTGGGGTACAGGCCAGAGTTGCAAGGGCAGTGAGAAGATTCACCAGAGACAGAGTAGGAGCAGAAATAGCAAATCGACAAGGTACACTGCTGAGGGGAGCAGCAGGCAGGTCAGGAGAGGTCTGCCACGCCATGTGGGTCACCTCCGGGGCAGGCGGGGATCAAACTCATGCTGAAGTGGCTTTAGCTTCTTAGTGCTGTGCTTTAACCTGCTGCGCCACCAGGGAGGGCCACCATTGCACATTCTTAAATGCACTCCATGTCACTGCTACTTTCATAGCAGGTACCAGAACACGAGCAGTAATGGATTAATTAACTGAGGCAACTAATCAGATCAAATGAATGAGCTGGAAAATCTAGAAATTTCTCTGGCTACATAAAGACAGCTCAATTACCTCCAAAGAGTGAGTAAAAGGTCTGGAGGGAAGATGGGGGAAGAGGAATGCTTTGGACGGGATGCTGGTCAGACACCCATAAAGCCTACACATGAGTGATCCAAGAGTTTATATTCCCTCTACTAGGCCTGTTTTCTGCTTCAAATGGCTGGACCTTTACTGAAATGATCCTCATTCTGGCATTCAGTAAATACTTACCAAGCACCCACTATAATTAGATACTGTTTTAGGATACAGGATCACACAATTAATCTAAAATATCTTGCTTTCCTGCAGCTTCTAATTTAATGAGGAGGGGAGAAGACAGATAACTTAATGAGTAAAATATCCACTTTATCAGATGGTGATAAATACCTCGAGAAAGTCATAGCAGAGCAAGGGGGTAAGAGTGCTAGAGATGAGGCTACTGCTATTTTGTATAGGAGCATAAAAGAACCTTTCTGATAGGTGACTTTTCAGCAAATACCTGGAGGGGAAAAGCTAGCCACATACATAACTGGGAAAAGATACTCCAGGCGGTAAAAAGAGCTTGTGCTACGGCTCAGAGTTGCTGCCTTTCATTGATCAGAACATTAGCTGGTTTTATAGACTTTGGTCTGAGAATTGCCGGGGCAGGTAGAGGTGGGAGGTGGGAGCAGTGGCAGACACTTCAGGTGCCCTTAGGGAAATCTAACTGGCAACCTCCGTGGTGGCAGCGGCTTTAGCACTTGCCACTTGGAATTTCCCTTTGATAATCTGAGCTTCTACTTAAAGGAGTTGGTTCCAGTAGTCACAGAAGCCAGTTCCTTTCTTTATCTGCAGAAAGGCTGGTTGCCTGGGGGAGGGGCAAAGCAGACAGAAGGTGAGGCCAGTCTCAGCCTTGTCTTGCTGTGGCTTGCTTTTTGTTTCCTGATTTTTCTAATATAAATCAGAGTCCCTTTGGAGCTAAATTTCCACAGAGTTGATTTTGGAGGGTGTGGGAGGAGAGCTGTAGGATTCTGAGTTGGCTTCCATAAATACAGAAAGTCACACAATTAGAGGGAAGAAGGGAACACACATTGCTGATGGGTTGTTAGTTTTATGCACATCATTATGATGATGACTGGATCATCATTACTATTCTGCAAGGTAGTTATTGTCATCTATTTTACAGACAAGAAGTAAGGCTTAAAGATCTGGCTATTTCCCTGCCTACAAAAGTACACACACTTCATTAAAATTTCAAACAGCAAAAAATGTGAAAAGTAGGAAGTGAAAGTGCCCAATGTCTCATCTCAGAGACAACAACTATATTTCTGAGCTTTCTGAATTTTTTTAAATGTATGCAAACACAGATACACAAACTTGTAAAAATTTTTCAAGGGATTAGGACCATATTGTTCCCTTTCTTCTCTTAACGGAGCATCTCGCTTGTAATTAGTCTTATTCATTATATGCATTATATTTTATCTTATATTATATATTATATATAGAATATATTATATTATAGCTTACTCATTATATTTGAGGAGGCTGAGCTTTCTGAGGACACACCTGGCTGTGTGACTTCACAACAGTCACCTTAACTCACAGCGCCCCTTGCCCATGTTGGTAGAACCAGGGCAAAGGACAGAGGAATCCTGATATAATGCCAAAGAGCAGGCACCTCAGCCCCCGCCCGCCTCGTGATTATCCGGAATATTTCCAAGGTCCAGCCCGATTTGACCAAGACGGCAGTCGCCACTTTCAGTAGTCAGATGACAAAGCCGCCGCCAGAAAAACTCAGCGAGCTGGGCGTGTCCCAGCCGCTCCGAACGTTCATACTGACAACCAGATCAGCTGGGAC